GGCTTAAGCTTCTTAGTGCTGTGTTTTAACCCGCTGCACCACCAGGGAGGGCCCACAAAGAATATATTTTAAAGAATACAGAAAAAGGGCCCTCCATGGTGGCACAACAGGTTAAAGCGCAGCATTATGAAGTTATCTGAATCCATTGCAGCACAAGTTTGATCCCCAGCCAGGGAGATAACCCACATGATGTGGTAGACCTCTCTTGTCTCACCTGCTGCTCCCCTCAGCAGTATATTTCAATCAATCTGCATGTTCTGCTCTCCACTCTGTCTCTGGTGAATCCTCTCACCCCCCACACTGCACCTCTGGTTGTACCCTAGTTCTTATATGCATAAATAAATATTTTTTTTAAATACAGAAAAAAAATACAAATGACAGTCATCAGTAGAAAGTAGTAGATGACTATAAGACACGTAAGTAGGAAATGGACTTTTCACTGTATAGCCTCTGCAGCTTCTAAACTTCCACCAGGTGCTATATTACTTTCAAAATTAAATGAGCCTGTGGTCTGCTTGGTGACACAAGGAGTTCAGTCTTAGCACTACACTAATGGCAGCCATTATAGCATAAGCTCAATCCCTGTCCAGGGAGCTGACCACATGACACAGCAGACCTCTCCTGTTTTACCCACTGCTTCCTTCAGCAGTATATTTTCATCAAACCTAATGAGGGTCTTTTTTTTTTTAGATATTAGGGATGAAGTATTATTGTAGGTGAAAGTCCAAACTCAAGAGTAAGTGCAAAAAGATTCAGAGAATTGCTTAGTGAATGCCTCAAGTGAGTTAAAAGAATAAGCTTAGTAACTTTTTTTCCTACTCAACAGGTTCAAACTTTTGTTTACCAACTACCTCTAATGATGGTAGTAGTATATCATGTAAGCTGAACTGAAAATTCTGCAGATGGCTAATGTCTCCAAAATACCCAGGGAGAACTAGTCAGAAATAACCTTTTATCTTCAAGTATGTAGGACTGAATTCTACTCCCTCAGAGTCCAAAGCCAGGAGGTAGAGGCCAAATGTGGCTAGCTGGGTATCTCAGGTCGGGAATCACTCACCCGGTCATAGGTGTCCCCCTCCAGTTCTCCCCACTTTCTGCCATCCCATGAAGTAACTCGAACTCGATTCCTATCTCTGATATCTTGTGGCACATAACTGTGAAGGACCTTCTGCAGTCTGCCAGTTCGGGAAGTGGAGAGATCATTGGCAGCAAGATTGCCTAGAGAAAAGTAAATTTTAGGAATTTTTTATCATTTCTATAAAAAGTTGTCAGGAGAGCCTTTTTTGTTTTAAGATTTATTTATTTAGTTATGCATATAAGAACTGGGGTGTAGGCCAAAGGTACAGGAAGTAAGAGGATTCAGAAAGAGCAGGGAGCAGAACAGACAGATCTACTGAAATACTCTGCTGAGGGGAGCAATGGGCGAGGCAGGAGATGTCTGCTACACTAAATGTGAGTCAGCTCCCTGGTCAGGGATCAAACTCAGGCCTCAGCAATGACAACACCAAGACTTAAACCCATAGGCCCCTGGGGGGACCCACCTTGTCTGCAGTCTTAATGGGGACTACATTGACTCCACTGGTGGCTTTGGGCAGAATGGACATTTTATGCCTTAAGAATAAGAAACTTCAGAGGCTATGTGACCGAATGAAACACTCTACCAGCAATGAGACGGATGCAGCTTCAGATCAGCTTTCAGACAGAGCCAATTAACTGCAGGCTTAAGGGCAGGTAGAGGAGAAACATTTATATACAGCACAGCACAGGCACTCTAGAGTAGCGGCTGCAAAGACAAACACACAAGCCAGTAATAAAAATAAATCAGCAGACCAGGAAAAACTATCTCTAGAAAAATATACTCTACTTTTCTCAAAATATGTGTTTCTCTTTATCTTTAGTAGACACTACATATTATTTACCCAAAATTTATTCTCTCTTGTGTGTGTATGTGTGTAAAGGGGGAGTAATGTGCCCCTAAAAAAAACTACATTTCTTGGTCTGACCAGGTTTTGGTCAATAAATTGTAGATAGACTCACTGTGTGGAACTTCTGGGAAGATGCTGACATAAATGGGAGATGTGCCTCTTTTGCCTGATCTTTTTCTTCCTGCCTCAAATTTAAATATGACTAGAGTTCCAGCAGCCATTCTGGACCACTAACCAGTCTGAGGACATTGAAATAGGTTGCAGTGAAACAGGTTGGAAAAAAAAAAAAAGGTGTTCAAGTCCTTGATGACCATGGAACCTCTGTACCAGCTCTGAACGGTCCATATCCCAACTTTTCTTATATAGAGAAAAATAAACTTTTCTAGTTTTATTTTCTAGCTGAGTTTTCTACTGTACAAAATGAAACTTAATCCTAACTGATTCATCACCTAATCTTCCATTTTCCCTTTTGTGATTAGACATGGATCCAAAAAATATCTCACCTTGCTCTTGTCTTTACTATAAGAAAAAATACTATTGAAAATTTAAAATATCAATAATTGATACCTAGTCTCAATTATTGAGTCAAGGAGTAAAAGGAACAGTGAGAACTGGTGAGAAGCTAAAGACTGCAGCTTCTTGAATGAATGAAAGCAGTTACTACTGTGAATCAACTTGATTCAAGATTTATTTATTTATACATACAAGAACTGGGGTATAAGCCACAGGCGTAGGGGTGTGAGAGCATACACCAGAGACACAGTGGGTAGCAGAACTGGCAGATCTACTGAAATACACTACTGAGAGGAGCTGCTGTGCTATATGGATCAGCTCTCTGGCTGGCCGTGGATGAAACTCATGTTGCGGTGGCTGGACTTGGCTGGCAATTTCTTGATCTAGCTATCCTGTGCCACCAGAGAGTTCCCGAGCCAGCTTGTATTCAATAAATAAATATGCTCCCAATTATTTTTTAAATATTTATTTATGCATACAAGAACTGGGGTACAGGCCAGAGGTAAGGGGGTATGAGAGGACTCATCAGAGACAGAGTGGGAAGCAGAACAGGCAGACTGAAGTATACTGCTGAGGGGAGCAGTGGGCGAGACAAATATGCTGCACCATATTTGTCACCTCCCTGGCCAGGGATCAAACCCTGTGTTGCAATGGCTATGGATAGCTTCCTGTTGCTGCGCTTTAACCCCTTGTGCCCTGAGGGAGGGCTGTACTCCCAATTTCTGAGAACACTGAAAGATGTAAAAACTGAGTTCTCTGTTCAAGAGATATTTGTAATAGGATACAAACTATGAACAGAAAACCTAGGTTCCAGTTCTAGCTCTACTTTCCAACTCATATTAAATATTAAAGCTATTTAGGGCCCTCTCTGGTGGTGCAGTGGGTTAAAGCACAGCACTAAGAAGCTAAAGCCACTTCAACATGAGTTTGATCCCCACCCCGGAGGTGACCCGCATGGTGCAGCAGACCTCTCCTGACCCGCCCACTGCTTCCCTCACCAGTGTATCTCAGTAGATGTGCCTGTTCTGCTCTCCACTCTGTCTCTGGTGAAACCTCTTACCTCCCCTGCACCTCTGGCCTGTACCCCAGTTCTGTATGCATAAATAAATAAATCTTTAGAAAAAAAAAGTTCTTAAAAAAAATAATAGGGGTCCTCCCTGGTGGCGCAGCGGGTTAAAGTACAGCACATAGAAGCTTAAACCACTTC